CAAACAGTATACACTTTTACAGTTTACAGGTCACCTCATGCATCTCAGAAACCAGCAACAGGCAAGGAGCACATATTCAGCTCAAATGCCCGATACCCATTTTTAAATTCCAGCAGCCCCCTCTATCAAAATATACCACAACTAGTAGAGTACCCAGATTTGCTCGGGGTGAGCGCCTTGGCGTCACTGCTCCTACTGGTCTAGGCCGCTGAGGCATTTTACATCTACATTGCTGTTTAGCCTTTCACAGTCACATCTGGCTTTTAGATCTATATTGCTTTAGATTAGGCCTGCCTTGATTAACTCCTCTCTTGATCTAAATTGCATTAGTGTATTGCTGTTTAGCCCTTCACAATCACAAAATACGGGATTCGCCTTACATCATCACAAAAAAGCACTAAGAAAATAATAATCCACGAAAGGGCTACTACACTGTAAAAGGACCACACCGGCGTCTTCAAAATCACAGAGGCAGAGTCGATAGTTTATTCACTTTCCTGTGACAGGGTTTTAAAAACTTGTAGCTCATTGACAAATTTACCTATGAACACAAAACTTTGCATGGCACTTCTACAAGCTAGCAACTAAACAAAAATTATTTTTTCAAAAATCTTGACTAAGTAATAAAAAAGTTTTTTCTTTGAGCCCGATATTAAAAACAACTCTTTGGATGCATACACAGGATCACGTCTCAACGTACAACAGGTGAGTCTCGAAAATTACTCACCCCGTCTCTTGAATCATGTTTCTTTGGCGAACATTAAAGAGCAGTAATGAATTTTCCTTGTGAAGGGGAGAGCTACGCACATTCGTTTCGTTTCTCAGTTGAATAATCACAAAGGCTAAAGAAGGACGGGAACTTTCTGTCAAATATATTTTTCTAAAATCAGGAAATGAATAAATAAAAAATTGGGCTCCGTCACAGGGACCTATCTATATTTTTGCAGGTACTTGCCAACTTTCAACTTTGTAGCTGTCGTACTTTTATGGGAAAAGTGGCACATGTGTTTCCAAGTAGCCAAATATATAATAGATACCACCAGCAAACTTTAATGCCAATGTTGTCTTACAGCATGCACTCTTTGAGTCCCTCCATTTCCTTTCCACAGCTTATCGGGGATGTTGCAAAAGTGAACCCATTAAACATCAGATTATTTTCACCTTACTGACATTCATTCACAGCAAGAAATCATTCCACTTACTAGGCACCAGTGTAAACGGTGTAGGGGGAGCCACTGTAGGGGAGGTGGGTATCGATGACCAGGAGGACGGCCAGGTTGACGACACCGTTGGAATGCCTGTGGGACCAGTTGGTGGTTGAACAAATGGCACTGTCGGCCTCGGTGTAGAAACATCCGAGAAAAAGCAACCGATGTAATTCACCCTCAAGGCAGGTCCACCTGCAGCCCACGTCTTTGGACTCACTCGCACGTAGCGGGCTACAGTCACCTGCAGACATTTTCATTCAATAGTGAACAATTTCATTTTCAGTGCATCTTCAGCTTAATGCTTCCAGACCTACTTTTCAAACATAGTCAACAATCTCATTTTCAGTGTATCCCTCTGCATCATACACAGCAAAATCTCAAAAGCATAATTCCTTTTGATAGTCAAAAGCTTTACCTCGCACATACATACTTCAACACTTGATTTTGACACATGATCAAACTTTTACCACTCCAGGAAAATTCAGCATCACTCCACTCCACCAATGCTATATATCTAAATAAACAGTCAAACCTTTCTGAAAACAAATGCAAACCTAGGAATTGCGGGACAAACAATATTCTCAACCCTCTCATTTCCTACAAAACTTAGCAACACTCACTCTGGGGAAGTAGTTTCTGGCCAAGGTATTCCTGTCAGTGTTACCATAATAGGTAACCTCCTGCCCTTGATCATCCTTGACAGTTTCAAAGTTGATTCCATCATTGCTGGTGCTCACTGTGAAGGTGTACACCCACTTCTCTGAAGATGGACTTCCTTGAGTCAAGATACCTGACAAGTTCTGGGCTGTCTGGAAATCTACTTGATGCCACGGGTGTTTGTCGTTGTCACTGTAAAATATTGCCAAAATAAAGGTTATATCAGTACACCACTTTCATCTATACAAAATACACATCACATATACACACATACACACTTACACTACACACACACACACACACACACACACACCCACACACACACACACACATACACACACACACTCACAAAGCAAAGCTTTAGTGACAATTACAGAGACTGGTTAATCCTGAAATGTAGCCTACAAGCACATCTAAGAAATAAAACTTACAGACTGCTTAACTTTCTCATTTTTCTACTTACTTCACCCTCATGCAAAGGAAGACTAATGATTTTTTTAAATCAACTAATTAAATTGAAACAAATGGCACTGAGGAAAAGAGACTCACTCTGGTTGCCAAGAGTTGACTGGATTTTGCATACGTCCATCACTGGGCAGAGTTCCTGTTCCTTGATCGCTGGATGCTGTCATCAGGTTATTTGGCATCAGGCTAACCACATCCACATTCATGGGCACGTTGCAAATAACATCTGGAAAAGGACACAAAATGTAACCTTACTAAATAACCTTGGGGGGGGGGGGGGGGGGG